GGGGGGGGGGGGGGGGGGGAACTGGAGCCCCCCAATTTTTTGATAAATTTTTTTTTATTTTCTTGAAGCATTCGTACAGATATTTTAGTAAACTGATATTTTTTACAAAGAAAAGAAAGAGACATGAAATGTTTGTTTGTTGGTTTGTTCGAGTTTAACATGTAAAAATGTGCAATTTGAGCATAATTGGTATATGGTATCGAATGATAATAGTATGTCAAATGTGTTGTTTGAGTATAATTGGTATATGATTCATATTGTCATACGAAAGTAGGAAAATGGGTTCCCTAATTTAATTCAATAATTTTCAATGGTAAAGGAATATTCTATCAATAAGCAATTAAGACAAATTCTATACCGAAACCAATTTTCTATTAATTGTATTGTTTCATTAACAATCAATAATACAATGTTAAGATGATATATTTATGCCATTATAGTTAGATTTCTATTAATTGAGTAATCTCTCAACTAATAAGGTATGATTTTGCTAAATTAAATATTAGTATTTTCTTTTATACGTTTCCTTGATTTTTTTGTTAATAATGTACATTAATTTATATTCCTTTATTTTCTTTCTCCATCATAAAATATCCACTTCTCCCATTTTAAAAGATAATGTTTAAAAAAAAAAAGTTTGGGGGCAGCCGTATGGGCCCCCATCCTTCAACTCCGGGACCCCCCTACTTCGATTTGGCTGGCTCCGCCCCTGCTTACAAGGAAACTTAGAAGATTATAAAAGAGAGAGGCCAGCTGAGAAGAAGAAAGCTAGCAAGACTCTACAAAATGCAATCACCTGCCCCATTTTTCTAGACTACAAGAGGGAAAAAAAAGATATATAAAATATTTACTTTAAGGCTCATTAGGTAGCAGTACAATGCATGCTCTCGCCGTCTATTACGTGCCCTTCACAACTCACTCATTACGCATATATCCAAATTACGTCAAGAATCTCTATTCGCACACTTCTGTACATGCTATTATTATATGGATTTTTTTCCTCATTTCATTTATTTTAATTTGTCGTTCAATAGATTTTAATTTGACGTTTAATGCATGCCCGTCATTTATTTTACTGAAGTTGTTGACGTGGAATAAATACGACGGCGATCATCATTTATTGACTATCACATCATCGGTGGAAAATGGAAGAAAGTACATTATTTGAAATTAAATAATAATGTAATTAATCTATTGAAATCAAATTAAAGAGTAATTATCTAATTTAAATAATATTAAAGTGTAGCCACCCGTTTTAATAAAATGAAAAGTATAATTACCTAATTGACACTAGAGTGAAAACATAATTACTGCAAATGGAACTTACCTAAAGCAAATACTCTAGAACCTTAAGTTAGAGGGAAGAAGCTTTATTTTAATTTGTAATTGGATACCATTATTCACTAATTATTGTTTGATAAAAATGAATATTCCTATTATTTGTCTTCTTGTAGCGTTAAATGTTACACTTGAGTACTGTTACTACAAGAATTGAAGTTCCAAGTTATTCTTCTTTCATATATAGATAATGGGTGCAAGTCAAGAATTTCTAGAGGTTAAGACATTATATATGGAAAAGAAGTATACGTTAGTGAATATTTTTCAGCTCCTGGGCTACCTTTCTTGAAAGCCATTTTTGTTTTCTTAAATTCGATACAGATTTCTCCACAAAGAATTTGAGAAGAGAACGTGTAACCTTACCTCCATACACAAATATTCAGCGAAATAGAAAATTACGGTGCAGCGAATTTCGGACATCGATGGACCATGTTCTGATGCAATTTCCTTCTGTACAAATTAAACAATTGAATTCGAAAATTTTATGTACCTGTATCTAGATATCATGTTTAAATATTGAGAAAGGAGTTTGATTATAATCCCAGTGGTTGCGATAGTGGCAGCGAAGCCCATACCTCAAAATTTATGGTTATAAAATATAAAATTTATCACCAGTTGTGAGAATTAATGTTGTATAGCATCAATTGTTCTTAGTGAAAGATTATGTGATAGTGATGTCCATATGTAAATGTGCAATAAAAGTAAGGATGCATTGTGATTCATCGAACAATTAAGCCCCCGTTTGACATTCATTAGCTCAAACTCATTTTCAATCACACAATAAAATTGTTGCGTTTTTTATATCGTAACTAGTAATATAGTAGACATTTGAGTTTAGCGCATTGCCTGGTGTTGCGCTGCAGCGCCACAACTCTGTATGTTCTTTCTCCAGTGACATCAAGACAATTGCCTCTTTATTTCTTCTAGCCACCTCTCGATCACACGTTCTCTTTTTCTTTTCTTTTGATGTAGGAAATTGATTATTTTGTCGTTCTTACCGACTATTTTGTCATTTCATTCCTCTTTTCTCCTCGATTTATGCCACAGTATTGTTTTCTCCACTTTTGCAATGATTTGCACCTTCCAAACTTATAAAATAATACTAATAAACATATTTAAAAACGTTCAATACTCATAAGATTTAGTCAATAATCAAATTAAAATAGTATAAAATTCGTGAGTAAAACTAACTCTTCAATTTTACACGTAAATTCAAATTTTTTTCTACTTTTTAACTACAAATTCTCTAAAAAAAATCATTATTTTCAAAAAAAATTCTTTTTCATGGATGTCAAACAGGAGCTAAAGATAGCCTCCACGACCACCTACATATACTGAATATGTTAATAACATTATTCAATAGTGAGGTGCAAAGTGCAAACTTTGTTGCGTGACCTAAATTTGTGTTAAATGAACTAGTTATTCTATTCCATAGAGAATATGTAAAATAGGGAAGGGAAGGAAACGTAGAGTAGTGGGAGTGGTGCACCGCAAATTCTGTGGTGCCAGGCTTGCACTCTAATCTTGCACAAGGAATCGGTGCAAAAAAGTAATGGGTTTGCTTCAAAGCCAATCGAATCTTACTCCTTCACAATACTTCTTCTTACACTTCTCTTTCTCTCTCCACAATACCTTTCCACTGGTTCAAGTTGCCTGCATATAAATGTAACGTTCTAAGTTGGCACTGAAAATAAGGTTAGTGTACACTTTCCAGATTACTATTCACAGGGACATTCTTTTAGGCTCTATCTCTATAAAGAAAAATGGTTGCACCTCAAGAATCAATGGTGATTAGAGATCACAATCGCATGATCAAAGGAAAGCGCACCAAGCGGCAAAGGCCCATCTCTCAGCTTTCACTAACCGTGGCTACTAGCTCATGTAGCTCCGCGGAAGTCAGTGGTGGCGGTTTTGGTGGTGCAGAAACGGAGGAGGAAGAAGAAGAATACATGGCCAATTGTTTGATTCTTTTGGCTAAAGGAAAAACACAAAAAATATGTGAACAACCTGCCGTTACGAGGTCGAGTGTATACCAGTGCAAAACATGTAACAGATGTTTCCCTTCATTCCAAGCACTTGGTGGGCATCGAGCAAGTCACAAGAAACCTAAGACAACAACCCTAGAAGAGAATGTACTTCAAATCAGTAACGATCATGGTACAAATCTTTCATTTCAGGTTTCAAGGTGTGGAGATCTATGCAGCCCAGAAAATAACAAATCTAGGGTTCATGAATGTTCAATATGTGGAGCTGAATTCACCTCTGGTCAAGCCTTAGGGGGTCATATGAGAAGGCATAGACCAATGCCTAATCATGATCAAGATTCTCTAAAAGCCAAGAAGTCAAGAAATCTGTTATCATTGGACCTTAATCTTCCTGCAGCACCAGAAGATGATAATGATGATGATCAAAGAGAATATTCAAAGTTTTCTTTTGCATCAAAAGAACAAAGTCTTCTCTGGCTCTCCTTTGGTTGATTGCCATTTATAACTAATTTCTATAATCAGCAGGAAAATTGTTATCTACATTATTTTTATTTTTTCATTCATAAATTTGTAGAATTGATTCTTTGACATTCACAAATTTGAAAATTGATTAGTTGATTTCCTTTAGTTATAATAGCTTTATCTTGATCATTTAGTTGAATTCTTGGAGTATCTTCTCCTCTTCCATCTTGAATGTTTCAAAACTTTTTTCCTCATTTTTGGTGCCTTGTGAACTGCCTCATTAGCCATTAGTGAGAGGAGGGTTTTTTTTTTTTTTTNCAAGCCATATATTTATTAATACTGTTTTGCTACATGTACAACATGTTTGGTGTGAGGTGACAGCTTTTTGTACATTGATTTTAACATCACATTTTTCAATCAATGGGCAGATTTCATCCACATAGAGACAATGTCGTCCACGATGTAATCCAAGAATGTACAACTAACATAATTGTTATTTATGTATCTACCCTTGTTTTATGAGTATTGACCTGTACTTCTCCATTATGACACCAAAGCAACATCCTTACCCTAGCCCTACAACCATGGAAAACTATTGAGCATGTTCTGTATTAATACTAAAATACATTTTTACTTATTTGAATTAGTATTGTCTAATCTACGTTACTTAATATGTTACAAGAAACTTCTCTACGAAACATTAGTGAAAAATTTCGAAGCATGGTCGTTCCTTTTGTATATATTCCAAACTTTTTATGGAATTGCCTTGGAGGAATTTCTTGCAGATTAAGGGACAGCAAAGATGATCTGGCTGCTTATATAACATACTATATCATAATTCTAAAGAAATTAAATGCTTCTTGGATGAAGCTGTTAAAATTACACGTGATAGAAATGAACGGTGATAGATGATAGTTATTTTAGATTCTACTAAATGTGCGTTTAAAATTAATATTTGACTTTGAATAATAAATTATAATGATCCACAAACATGCAGTAAATGGTGCTTTTACACACACGTGTGTGTAGAGTAATTGAAGTCTATTTGCACTTAGTAGAAGCCTAAAAACTTCTAATTCAGGATTGGTGTATTTTTGCAAAAATTAGAAAACAAATAATAATAATAATAATAATAATAATAATAATAATAATAATAATAATAATGGGACTGTATTTCCACACAGTTTGATGAAAACATTTAATAAATATTATGTAATCTAATAGTCAATATATCATTGTATCAAGTTTAAAAATGTATAATTGATCGAAAAAGTTTATTAATGGATACTTGAGTAAATTTCTAAGAAATAACTGTAATTAAAACTTTTAAATTTTAAACTATCTGAAATTTGATGAATATCAATATACTTTGCTAATATTAAGAAATGTTTTATGTAAATTATTTATTTAAATAGTATCATTATTAAGAAATGTTTTATGTAAATTATTTGGCTACTTTGCTAATATCCCTTCACTGCATAGATTTTTTTTTTTTTGGGGTGGGGTGGGTGGGGGAAATTATTAGGAAAAATTACTTGAATAGCTCTTTGCTCTTGTGGACGTTTAGTCTCAGCACCTTATGAGTGACAACTGATACAGGAATAAGAAGTCTCAACACTTGCCACCAAACAACTTGGTTATTGTCTTTGTATTTCAGTTTTGTGTTTTGAGTTTTGAATTCATTTTAGATTTGATGTTTTGAGTGTTCATTTTGAAATTGTTGAAAATGTGTTCTTTTTGACATTTTAAAAAATCTTATACTACATTAAAGAAGGATGGCTGCAGCAACAGTATTCCCGCCCATAATTCTAGCCTCCATCCCGCCCAAAATAAAAATAAAAAATAAAAATAAATAAAATTATATTTCTTGAGAGAGAATATATCTCAAGTACCGCCCAGATTTTTTGAATTGAATACCGCCAGAATTTTGAATTCAATCCCGCCTAACCAAAAGCTTACTCCTTGATGTAAGCGCCATAAGCTGGAAAAATGTCCAGCCGCTCGAAAAAAAGAAAAGATAAATCTACCGATCTCCTCCCTCAGTGACTCTAACTTCTCTATCTCCAAACTCTGTCCAGACATTTTTATTGAACCGTTGCATATATGACAATGGTGGTGTGTGTGGCTAGGTTAATGGAGTACATAGAAGTGGTGGGTAAGGGTGTTCTTCCTCCAAGTGAGCATGTTATCCCTCAATGCATACTTTCAGAATTCGAGCTTGATGAACGAAGATGAGAATTCGCCCTATTCTCTTTCATACTAATGGTCCTAATGCAGGTAGTCAGATAAGCTTGATGAACGAAGATGAGATATCTGTTTTGGTCTGTGATTTTTGAATATTGGATGGTATTATTTAAATCTATTACCATTAACAGATCACTCCATTAGAATTTATCATTGCAAATGATTATTTCGCGACACAGATTTCTACTAAAGGTGTGTTTGACACCCATTTTGGTAAAGAATAAATTCTGGAATAGTGATTGATTGGAAGAATGTGTAATTGAAAAATAAGAAGAATTTTTGGGTTTATATGTAATATTATTTTATTGATAGAATGTGTGGTTGAAATGAAGAAAGAGAAAAAAAATGAGAAAGAGAATGGGTGTCAAACGGGGGGCTAAATAGAAATTATATTTTTGAATGTTTGATGGTAAACTAACAAAGATTTCATTTGAGTGTTGTTAGAATTTATTCTTGCAAGAAAGAAAAAAAATTTGCTAGGCATCCGCATAGAGTTGGAAGCCAGCTCCGTCTAGAATGGAGCTGTACTGTCCAGCTCCGTTGTGGGCAGTAATTTTTTTTTTCTTTTTTCTTGACTTAAATTGCGATGAGTAAGATTATACCATATATATAATTTAAATTTAAATATGTTAAATTAAACTAAATAATTATGAACTATATGGTACATAAAAGAATAAAAATTGCGACAGTTTGATTAAGATTATTTATGATTATCACTAGCCTCAAATGCGACACTTTGAGTAAGATTATACCATGTATTTTCTTGATATTTGTTAATTCTTTCGGATTTGTCATCATCTTCTTCAAATTCTATATTTATTTAAATTTTACTGTAGAAATCTATTTGAGTTGAAACGGGTCTTTTGGTTAATTTCATCTTTGCTTTTTTGGTGCATCAAAAATTGTTTTTCAAAAATCAACTAGAAGTCACAAATGAAACTTCATGGAAGTGAAGATGAAAATGGCTATTGTAATGGTGTCCTCAGAGAGAATAAAGAGCAGGAAGCAATTGCAAAGTAAGGACCAGATCTTCGTGAGAAAAATAAAACTTATCAGCCATCAAATGTGTAAGAAACTCTGCAAATTTTTGGTTTATTTTTGGGTTTACTACTATGACTTGGTTTGTCAACCCACCAGAAATATTTTGGTTTACAATGACATGAAAAATGAAAGCTGATCTCAAGGTGTTTGGTAGAAGTTTTTCATCTGTTTCTTCCATTTTTTTTGTATAAAGGTTTGTTCCAAGAATATAAAATATCATTGACTTATTTAATCAAATTTGTATGTTAGTCTAAAAAATTGTTATTGGTAGCAAAAAAAAAAAATTCTTAATTTGTTATAAAACGCTTAAATTCTTAATTTGTTATTATATATCACTCTTTAAAAAAAAAAAAAACTACGCAGACATGATGGAGACACCGGCGGTGTCTCCATCTAAAACGGAGACACCGCATGTCTCCATGCTAGATTGAGACACAGATTTTTTTTTAAAGCCACCCCAAACCCACAGTTTACTTTTGCACCACCCCACATGTTTTTTCTTTCATGTATGTGATTTGGATTGGATGATGAGGATCTATAATTGTTTATAATGAGGCCGAACTGGTGGGATAAGTAGCCAAAGGCCTCAACAGCACTAATCATTGTGTGCAGAAGAACAAGGTGAGATTTCTTTTCATAGCTTCCTTCACATTTTAGTTGCATTGCAGTAGCTTCTGATAGTGAAGATGATGATTGAGAACAAAACAATTAAGAATTGATCTTTAAATTACTAACATTTTCATTTAAAATTACTCATTCACTCGCAAGTTAATTTTATAAAGTGTTTTGCATTTAATTGGATTGGAAAATCAATTAGCATATATTCCTCAGAATTCTTCATCACTTGATATAAATTTGTCCATGAACCGTGCATCGCACGGGTGAAAGACTAGTTGTTTTGAAAATACCAAAAATCCGTTTTGAAAATTTTGACTTGATTATAACTGAAAACACCAAAAATGGGGTTTTCTTTGTAATTTTTTAACTTGTTTTAAAAAACAAACACATTTTTTAAAATAGGAAAGAGAACGCATTTTTACTGATTTGAAAAATCGAAAACAAAAAGGGCTTGAAAATGGTAAAGAGAACGTACCCTATTTTGAAATACTTCATATCACGCATTCTTATCCCAATCTATTGCACTGTTTAAAAAAAATTGTAACCAATCTTTCAGAGTGGCAAAATTCAATCCAAAAAAATACTGCCATCAATGCTAATCCACAGATATCACTCGTCTCCCGATGTCAAGATCAGAAATCAAAACTTGTTGATTCTATAAATACTTCAGAGCTTGAAGTCAATTTTTTGTTCATTCGACGTAGAAAAATTGAGCACACTCGATACATAATATTTTAATCAAAGACAAATGTCCATTGATAGCTTATCGCGATGGCTTTTATAGGACTAGAAGGATATCACATTATGCCTGAATAAAGATTTGGATATTCATCCCATACAATCTGCCAACTTCTTCTGGGAAGAATTAATGAATGGTTTTTTTTTATAAATAGATAAAAATTTAGCTAGTACCTGTGGATCCATTAAAATGTAGTTGAAATGAAGTTTAACCATTTATAAATATTGCCAAACGGAGAATTAAACAACAATTATAAACAAGGCAAAAATAATTAAAGGAAATTAACAAAAAATAAAGAGGCAAAAGCAATAAAGAAAAAAAAGATATGTAGTTTGTTCCATGATTATTAAGACTCGTTCACTTAATTCGATCCAGAATGCGAAGCAAA